ATTAACATTATTTTACATAAAAACAATTCACTCAGAACTACAATTATTTCCCATGCTTTGTGACAATTAGGGTGCATTAAACTTTTTTTTTTTGGAAATAAAATTCATGACAACTGAAATCACCACTCCCCAAACCCCCACTCCCACCCCCGCAGACCTGCTGTCGGAGACCCGGAGGGACAGCCCGGGCTCTGTGGGACCTCAGCCCTGGGGTCACTCGGGAGGGTCTCTGGCGCCGCCCTCTGGACGTGCAGCCCTCCCAGAAACCCTGGAGGGAGATCTGTTTGAACCCTCCCACACCCCAGAGCAGAGCCCCTCATTTTCTGTCCGGGGGACGTGGGGTGAGGCACGCAGGGTACTCTGGGGTAACGCCAGCTCCGAGCTACGGCCCATGTGATACAGGTGCACTGTATCTAGCTCTTTGCTGTGGGTCTCTGGGATGTGGGGCATGTGGGGAGGCTACAGTTTCCTTTGCCCTTCTCCCTCAAAATCCTGGGGGCCAGGGCTCCCCGCTTCCCCCTCTTCTCCCAGCCCTACCTATCTGTCTTCCTGGGAGTCTGGCATCAAGACACATTGGGTGGGCAACCCCCAGTCTGCGGAGTCGGGCATGGTCCCCACCCACTGCAGACATGGAGCCCCCAGATGGCTGCGGCTGGCTCCTCCCGGTAACTGCCCACCCTCCTGGTCTGGACTGGGCCAGTGGACCGAGTGGGCATGTAGAGATGGGACCAGACAGTGGTCCTCCTGCTCTGTGGCCTACAGCTCACCTGGGATGGCCTGGTCCCCAGCCCCAGTTCCCGGCAGCCCGGGGAAGGAGGCCACTGGGGGCGAAGGGAGGAAAGCGGGGCTAGGGTGGGGGGCCCAGCTCCCAGGTGCCCCCTCAGCCTCACCATCAGCCAGTGGCGAGCTCCAGACAGGGCGCCGCCCTGCCTCTGTGCCCGGGGCCGGGCGGGTACTTCAGAGGCACTCATCAGGTGGACGCCTCGAGGGTCCCGAGACGCGGGGCTTGGCACTGGTTCCAGGCCCAGCTTTGGCCAAGTTCATGCCTGTTTTCCTGACTTTCCAGCCCCAGCCTGGCTCCAGCCTGGGGCTGCCGTTTGCCCTCAGACCTCCCCCCCCCCAGTACTGGAGGGGTGCCCCCTCCCACGCTGTCCTTGTTCCCAGGGGACTGTGGGGGGCAGAGGGGTGAGGGGTGCACGTTTCTCCGGGATGGGAAACATTCAGCCGGAAGCACCCCAGGGTGCTGACTCACAGACACGGGGGCCTGGATCTCGCCCAGTGAAGCTTAGGGAGGCCGCCCACCGAGGGGAGTAGGAGAAAGCCGGCCTCCCACGGAGGAGGTGTCCTCAGAGCCCAGAGACACCATCCCGGAGCAGGACGCCCACAGACCCCTCAGGCACAGGGTAGGCATGTGTGAGGCCACAGCACCCTCCCCCCAAGTCATTTGAGCTGCTGAAATTGGCCAGTGTCCTCCAGCAAAAGGAGAAGACGGTTTAGCAACATGGGGGGAGGGGGGTGCTGAATGCGGCTGTAATAATCCGGACACTGTTCTCACCAGCAGGGGCAGAGCAGAGTCTATGCCCAGCCCGCTAGGCCCCTGGCACCGGGTGGTATCCACAGCTCCCTCCCTTAGCCGCAGGGCACCTGTCCCCCAGCCCCGTGGGACCTACGCCCCCACCCCCGGGGTCCTGGCCTGGGGGGAGAGCTGCATGTGGGGTGACTCAACACTTCGTTTTCCTTCGAGTGCCTGTGGCTTCCTGAACTGACCTCGAGGGTCAGTTTTCCCAGTCCCGATTCTTCTCTTTCAGGGATGTCCTCACTTCTGAGAACCCGCAGTGAGAGACGCCCCGGTGTGTGGAAAGGATGCGCAGTCTACCCTGGGGGGCAGTGAGGAGGCAGACCCTCCTCAGGGCTCG